TTTAAGAGAACTTTTCTTACCTTTTCACTAGCTGCACCAGCATGTTTAAGATCTGAAACTCTGTCTTCACTTTCACTCAAATGGTTTTGCAAGCTTGTGTTTGAGATTTTAAGTTCCTCCATATCTCTTTGACTCTGCTTCATGCAAACTATTTCTTTCCTGTATTGCCCATTCAAGGAATCTGTCATTTTTCTAATCTCCTCTATTTTTCTATTGATGTCTTCTTTAGAAGCAGTTATTAATTCTTTTACTGCAGAGTTTTTTTCAGATTGGTTTTCCTCCCTATGTTTCTGTATTTGATTCTTTACTTCAGATGCTATGAATTCAGTGAATTCTTTTTTTAGAATTTCAGAAAATAATTCTGCTCTGAGTTCTATATATTTCTGCTGTTGCTTATTTACCTTCGATGCTATTAATTCATACATTTCAGCTGAGCTAGTGTCCTCTGCACTTGTTCTGGGTTGGCATTGGGTTTCCTACATATGTTTCTACATTTGATTCTTTACTGCAGATGCCATTAATTCAGGGATTTCTTTTTTCATTTCCAATCTGGGTTCCTCTATACCTTTCTGCAACTGTTTCTTTATTTCAGATTCCATTGATTCATTGCTTTCAGCTGTGTGATTCCCAATTTGTTCTGTGTTAGTGTCCTCTGCACTTGTTATGGGTTGGTTTGGGGTCTGAGATTGCATTTTGCCCCTTCTTGTTGGCATTTTGTATAGCACTATTTTCTGATCTTTGTTGTAGAGCTTTGGTGCAGTTTTAACCTTAGATCTACTGAAATTCAGGTGGAGATCTACAAAGTTTGAATTTATCCAGCTGTGTCTGGCTTGAGTCTGGTGCTGTGCTCACCTCCTTCCTGCTGCTGCTCTTGGGAGTGAACCTGTTGTGCCCCTCTGGCAAGATGTTCTCCTCCTGGAGTAGCTGGGTGGTTCTGTCCCCTACACTTTCTGCAGGGGCTGCAGCTGCAGAATTTCACCCCTGGCCTCTATTCCAGGTCTGAGCTGAGTCTGGAGGGGATAAGGTGTAGTAGGTGGGTGAGGAAACTTTCCCCCACACTCACCGGGCCTGGGCTAGGGTTGGATCTGGGGGTCCTGAGAATGGAGTAGAAGTTCTTACTCAGTGGGTGTGGGGGGACTGGGGAGTGGTGGTGGGGTGTCCTAATGGGGTGGAAGAGGGTCACACACATGTTGCACCTGGGCTTGGACTGGCCTGGTCTGGTTCGTGCAGGGTAGCCAGAAGCTCTCCCACACACTCACTGGACCTGGGCTAGCACTGGATCTGGCTGTCTTGAGAATGCAGCAGAAGTTCTCACTCACTGGGTGGGAGTTGGT